TAAATACCATTTCAAGGCATCTTGGTTAATATGTTCTGCATTAGATGAATGTTGGCAAAAAAGATTTAGTTCATAAAGTTATTAATAGTCTATTTCCGATTATGTATATAATTATATTATTTATCATTTTCAGATTTAATATGTTCTCCTTCTACATTCATCGGTATTTGCGATTGACTCCTCCATATGCAGCAATGATACTCCTCCAAGCTTCATTGTTGATACATATGGGAGATGGTCCACTTTGGAACAACCTAGTTCCATATTATACACAATTCTGTGCCGACTATTTTTGGTCAGCACTACTTTATATCCAAACGATTTACAACACAATGGAAATAGTAAGGAAAAATAATAGATATTTTTCAATTATTTCTTCAAAATAGTTCTTGGTGTTAATATTAACCATTTATCTCAGTGTGTTGTTCAATCCTGGTATTTGCAAGCTGATATGCAGATGTACATTCTATCGCCTCTAATTTTGATACCAATGATAAGGTGGCCAAAGTACTTTCTTGGAGGCACTATTGGGTTGCTGATGGCGTCTGTTGCTATCAATTTTAGCATAACGTATGTCAATAAATTTAGTGGAGCTATCAGCGAAATGTAAGTACAGATTTATATACTTTATTCTATCTCAAATAGATACATTAGTTTGTTATTATTTGATTTACTCTTTTTCATAATTTGTTATCAATTAATTATAATAATATAATAACACTTTAATAACACTTTTTATTACCACTAATCATTTCCATTGACTCCTACACGTTATGATAATCAAATTATTTGTTACCAATATTTTCACTCTTTGAATTTTTTACATTCAAAACGTTTAAGTGCTTACAATTTTAAAATTTTTTCAGATAGGGCTATAATGTCTATGAATGAAATATTTGTATTTAAAGTATCTATCAGCCGGTGCAAAAAATTATAATAGCTTTCAGCGTTTGTGAGAAATTTGCTAAAAAACATTTGCAACTTTTTGCATACCTAATTCAAATATCTCAAAAACTATTTAAACTGCGTCAGCATCTCAAATCTTCCCCACAGATATGATATTTCAGTATTGGTATTACTTTTAACAAAATATTATTTGGCTAATTTCTGAAGCGTGATAATTCTGGCACTAGCAATATGTGTATTGCATTAGATGTCACTTATATAAAAATATGTTTTAATTTTTTTTAATAATATATAAAATTTATCATCAGCCTGACTATTAAATTAGAGACAGCCGATATAATTCAGAAACGTATATATAGTTATGAATTAATTTCAGGGACACTTTCGGTGCCGGCGATCAGATCAAATATCTTTACTTCCCGGCGTACACTCGTTACGGCCCATGGTTAGCCGGTATTCTTGTCGGATACATTTTGCATGAAGTCAAGAAACGCCAATTTCGATTGAGCCCGGTGAGTAAATCGTCTAGAAGAGTTGCACAACAAATACACAATATAATATACAGAAATAGTAACTCACTCCGGAGTCATCACTCCTAGGATACCCGTAGAAATGTGTAACTCACTCCGGAGTCATCACTCCTAGGATACCCGTAGAAATGTGTAGCTCACTCCGGAGTCACTACTCTGATACAACTCTTATCTCGCAGAGAATCCGAGCAAAGTTGTAACGAAAATGTTGACATAACTGACATCCCTAAGGAAGCGTTCATTAACCACTGATCGATTTTTTGAGGATTTTTGGACCCCCCCTCCCCCTTGTTGATACGTGGTAATATTCAACTTTACCCCCAGTCTTCCTCCCTTGGTGATATGTGGCGATATTCGAAATTACTCCCCTTCCTTCGCCAAACAACACGTGTATTTTTAGTTACCAGAAAACATTGTAATTTTTTTTTTTTAAATATTTGGATTTAAAAGAAAAATTAGGTAAAAAATAAATACACACGATATCTTACTATAGCCCTTCCATTTATGAAATTTTTTCAATCCACCCTCCACATAAAAAACCTCCAGTGATTAATGGACGCTTCTTAAACTGGTACAAAATCTGTTAACAAGATTCTTATTGAATCATTGTTTTATTAACTTCCCGTAGGGCAAGTTATAGTAATCGCAAAAAAATCGAAAATGAAAATTTTTACATATCTTTACGTTTCAGAGGTTTCTGAACATTTTGGCATACCTTAGAAAAATGGATGTATGTGTGTGTGTGTGTGGTGTTGTTACGTATGTATGTATGTATGTATGTGCGTGTGTGTATGTATGTCGGATACAATTTTTCGTCGACGATTTCGGGAACACGGATCAACCGATTTGAATAATTCAAAAAGCATTCCGATTCGTATTGATAGGAGACGTGCTGATTAGTTTTTGGCGAAGGCAGGTCCAGCCGTTCCAAAGATACGGGGCAAAAAGTGCCGAAAACGGTAACTTAGTTTTTAAGAGAACGGAGCGTCCGATTTAAATAATTCAAAAAACATTTTACTTGTATTGACAAGATGAAGAATTGATCAAATTTTCATGAAGTCAGGTCTAGCGGTTTCGGAGATCTAATGATAAAGTAAAAAAAAATGCCATTTGGCGGTCAAAAATGATCATTAGACATATGCACATCAAATTATCAGATATTTTATAAAGATTTTAACAATAAGTATAATTTTTTTTACATTTTTATGGGTTCCGTACCAATGCTTATCCGTTAGACGGCGGCGCGGCAGTTGCGCGCTTTGACATTTTGTCTCTATGCAGATAAAGCAGTACGATTGCTTTGAAAAACAGTTCAGAATTTCCAAAGTATGTCAAAATGAAAAAAACATTTTTTTTTCAAAAAAATTTTGTTTTAAAAAAAAATTTTTTTTTCAAAAAAAGTAATTTTTTGTCAAATTTATAGTTTCTCTCTAATTTTTTCGAAGTAAAATTTTTTCAAAAATGTTAATCGTTTTTAAAAAAATAATTTTTGGTACGGGAAGTTCCAGCAATTTGCCTTAAGGCACGATGCCTTAATTGCCTTAAGACAGAATTCCACTTACAGCTAGTTGACATTTATTCATGAATTTTTGCATGATTGCCTAGTTAACTCTATATAGGCATAGTCTAGTTGACTCTATATAGAATTAAATAATTACCTTGATATTTCAATATTTTTATTGTCAATTTTGGCATAAAATTGAGATTAAAATCTTATTAGAAAATGAACAAAAATGTTTGAACTGTTGGTAAACGATTTCCAAATATTTGATAACTTGATAGATATTGAACAACACACTATAGAACACATTTGTGTCTAGTATAGGGTTTGGAAGTTGTCCAAGTCCTCGGAGTTGTTAACTCCGTATATAACTCCTTTCTGAAGCGGAGTCAAATCTTAACCGATTCGGCCCGTCTCTATAGGATAGTATCAAAAATATATTTTTTGATAATAGTATTAAAATTTCACGATTATTCAGTCGTTATTAGAACTACGGGTTCCAGGTTTGATACAAGCTACGGACAGCCTGATATGAAGCAGTCGTAACATCGATTTTCACTTGAAACCATTTCATGATTTTGGTTTAAGAAAATACTAGTTTGTTTCAATAATTTGTTATCCATCAAATGTCCTTTGCATTGGTTGGTTGATTTTTTTTGACCGATAATATAAATATAGTCTATGAAATTTCACGTAAATTTATATTTCTGGCAAATAATTATTTTAGAATTAGTACAGAGTTCTCCATTAATATATAGTCAATGGAAACTTTGAATAACTTTGCCAGATTTTAACCAATTGCATGCAGCAATAAACCTAGCAATAAACTTTTTATAAACCTAGCTGAAAAAATTTGCAAGGCTTTTAATGTGATAATAAAAAAAAACGTTTATCAAAATTCATTGAAAATTGCTCAAGTTATTCAACATTTCCATTGACCACATATAAATGGTCTTACATTAAAATCCAAAACTGTTAGAGGTCTTTCGATTATTTAAAGTATAAAGTAAGTCCAATTTAACCAACAGATGGATTATACAAAAATGTATAAAAACGTGTCTTCTTAATTTTTCGACTTATGAAATTTAGATTTAATGAATTTCGATCCATTAATTGTAGATTTATATACATAGTTTGTACATTGACATATGTATTTATTCCTAGATTTTAGTTTTCTCTTTATGGATATTGACATTGACAACTTTAGGAGCAATCGTATTTGGGTCTTACCCATTTTACCAACTCGATAGGGAAAAGGATGTTCTTGAGGCATCATTTTACCAAGGATTATCCAAAATTTGTTGGGGTTTTGGAATATGTTGGATAATATTTGCTTGCAGCACTGGATATGGAGGTAATTGATAAAGGAATTTTATTTTAATCATATGAAAATAACTTAAAATAAGCAGAAATATTTAACAACAAACGATAGTAATAACTCACCTTTTTAATTTATCTGTGGTTTATGAAGAAGTTTAATTTATAGAAGTTATTAATAAAGTTATAAAAAGTTGTATGTATGAAACCATTAATCTCTTTGTGAAAATAATAACTTCTCTGCGTAGGGCATGATCATAAATTAACCATTAACGAAAGAGTTTATTATCAGGCTAGTAATAAAAATGAATTCTCTCTTTTATTCTTTTCAGGACCCATAAACTGGTTTCTTTCATGGGGATACTGGCAGCCAATTAGCAGATTGTCTTATTGTATATATTTGACTCACTACCAGCTACAACTTTTGCTGATGCACAGTGTAAAAACACAAGGCTATTTCTCCGATATAAACATGGTAAATGTACAATAAATAAGTTTGTGGTCAGTTTGAGAATGTTAATATCGGAATTTTACCAAGGAAGAAACAGATGAATTCAAACTATTATTCACCAAGAATAATGCATCTTAGTATAAGAAATGCTTTATTATGAAAACATATATTATGGACATGTCAATTCCAAAATTCTGAGAACAAAATACAAGTTGTAAACACAACTTCTAATGCCATTGAGCATTTGCATAATGACAAATTTCTGAGTGATATAAGCATTACATCTTTGTTTAATTAGCATCATACACGACGAGTTATTATTTAATTAAATTAATATACAATAATTACACATATTAAGTTAAATTAATAATGAAGTAGCAACAACGTGTTTTTTAAAAATTCATATACATTACAGATTCATGCATTTATTGGTGACATGGGATTATCTATTTTTGTGTCTATTTTTTGGAGTCTGGCATTCGAATCTCCTATAACTGTTATTGAAAAATGTCTTCAAAGGAATCACCAAAAAGGTAAATTTACAAAAGTAATTTGAAATAATAAATACTTGTCGTTATCGGATCCATATATTTTTTGGATTTATATTTATTGGGTACAAATCGTAATTCAGTTTTTTTTTTTTTTTTTAAAATGAAGAACATTAAAATCTTATAAAATTGTATCAGTAAACGAGAGAGGAAAAAAAGTTAGTATACAAGTAAAAATAATTTAGATTTCATTCCATTGAGAGAAGCCACTTTTGAGGTGTTTTGAGAGAATATTTAATATTATTTAAGAAACAGTTAGTTTCACGTGCAGATGACATAAAATTGTTCCACTGGACTAGTATATATTTATATATATTGGCTCTAAATTTTATTAAAATTATAATTTTTTTCAAAAAAATTGCAATATCATAAAATTTCTTTCTAAGCACATACTAGATATTTTTATTTCACTCAATGGCTTAAGTGAAATAAAAAAACATGAAATTTAATTATTTAATTACCGTATATAGTAACTATTATTTTTAACAAAATTTCACTATTTTTTATATTCCAGATTTGCCAAGAACTGTGAAAATTAACAACAGTATGCCACAAGAACAAATTGGTGTTGAAAATGGCGCGTACGTCCATTCAATAAATGAAGAAAAATAAAATTTAGTCAAATTAATGTTATAAATATTTCCTGATATGTGATATAATCTAAGAGTTAGAATATTTATATATTATTATTCGCTTAAGATGTTAATAATAAGTTTGGGCAAGGTCGTCGAAATTATAGAATGTCTGCATTGAGATATAACTTGTTATTATAGCCAGAGTGTCGATGTAAATTTTACGCAAAATTTGAAAGAGATATATAATAATAAATATTTAAAATAACTGAGCCTGAGAACATATTTTTGTTATATAAAATTTATTTATGCTCTGCAAAAAGAAAAATTCAAAAACCTGAACAAAAAGAATTACCACAATTTTTTTCTGCTCTTATATCTGCCATATATTGTACTTATTCTAGAGAAATTATTTTTGAGAAAGACCGTGTTAGAGCTGTATTTTTTGTGCTAATTAATTATATTTTTGAACAATAGTAATATAATTACTTGATTTTAATATATAAAAATATTAGCAACATTAAAAATGTAAATGATTATCCCAAACACAGTCATTTATTAGGTATATTTTTTATTATTGAGAAATTTTATTTAAACTATTCTTATTACGAGTTTGTTAAATTTTGGTAATATATAGATTAAAGTTACAAAATTGAATAATTTAAGTTTGAACATATAATAAACGGAAAAAGATAAGATAATATAAAAATCAGTTAGTCATTAGCTTAACAGGTTTAAAATTTGAATGGTATAGCATTCATGACATACTGCATCACAATGAAAATGAATGCTTTAGCATCCACGTTCCACGTTGGCAAACGTGTTAAGTAGGATCATTTTTATACATCTTACAAAAAAGTTAAGATTATTTCTTTGTGTATTAACTGATTTATAAATGTCGATGAAATATTTCAAATATTTTATTCGTGATTTTGAACAGGTGAACAAGCACCTTCCTATTAAAGTTTCTGATTTACGTCGATATATTGTAAAAAGTTCAAGCCTGTTGAATTTATAATTGTTATATTTATATTAAAACTCTCTATTTTATTATTGTTCGTTAGAATTACCACTAGCGCTCTTATTATTATATTTAAATGAAACACGCAGCTCGTTTCCCAAGGAACGCTCGGCTCATTTTCTGTTTTTTGTCTGATGTTTCGATCTGGGATTTTACGTCCAAGTTTTTAATTTCATTCGAATACATTTGCGGAAGCAAAAGTGGACATGATGTCCATTAAAATTTTACATGTTAAAATTATTCATTACAATTATTATTGCGTCATTACCGATAGGTCAGAAGACTTAGACTACATTACAGAATCAAAAAGGTTTTTGAATTTATTATGCCTAATATTTATTTTTTGCATATTAATTAATAAAAAAATTAACGAAGATTTTTTAACGATTTATATACTTTTTTGCTATTTGACACAGTACATGTAAATGGAGGTTTGTGTGTACTTCCTTAATAACATTAATTAATTTTTATTAAATAAAAAAATGACTAATGAAGTCCTTGCTTGTAGGTTATTTAAAAAAAAAAATATTTTCAACTAATTGAAGTTCAAATTAATAATGTGGTACCTCAACTCGAATACATCCTAGAAATAATTTAGAAAAAAACTATACCCCTTACATAAAATTATACTATTATTTTGTTTATATAAATAAGTTTTATATTTGGTTTAATACAACTAGCTAAGTCCTTATTTTTTATATTTAATTTGCATCTTGATTGATATTTGTTCATATGCTTATTGATTTCTTATTAAAAAATCAAAGCTAAAACTACATTTAATTTGATTAATAGCAAATGATCTAATAAATATTAAAAACACTTCATCAGCAATTTTTAAAATTAATATGTATCACAAGATATTTTTCCACTATATAGAGTAATTTTTATAAGTAATAAAAAAATCTTTATATGTGCTTTCAATACAAAAGTCTTTAATTTTGGCAATGTAAAAAATAATTGGATGATCCAAAGAAACATTTTCTAGTCATGTTTGTTATTGTTTAACTTTGCCACTTTTTTTTAAATCACTTAATGATTTATATGTTATGTAACTTTTTATGCGGCTTGCTTTTTATATATTGTTTAGAATATTAAAAATATTCATAATTTGTTTTTGTATTTTTCTATTTGGCATGGTATCAATTTTACTACAACCACAAATCGAATATTATTATAAATGCAATTCTGACAATAAATTGATACTAAAAATGAATATAAAATACATATTTTAATACGTGCTAAAACAAAACCGCAATAAGACCTATTATAACTTATTTGCATCAATTTATGTATTTTACTAATTTAATAAATCATTACCACCGTAACGTACTTTGTGTTTAGTATTTTCTAAAACCAAAGAATCTTTAGGTTAGTTTGATAAAATTTTTGAGACCTTTTTTGTAATTAATGTACTTTTTAAAAATAATCAACATGATTTTATTAATATTAATTATATGTTTGAAATTCTTATTGTATACTCTATAGTGTATAATTATCTACTAAATTTTACCAATCTATGATACAAAGTCTCCTAATTTAAATGTTTAAAAAAACTGTTATTTTCTGCCGATGTGCTTTACGCAAATCAAAATTTCCAAATGTATATAAAAACGTGTATTAACTTAATAAATTTAATTTTGCAAATAACATAAATTATCATTATAAATAATGATTTATAAACGACGTGATTCTGCGGAAGTTCCGGAGTTCAAAATACGTCGTAAAGAATTATTTTGATCGTTTCCAAAGATCAACTCGAAAGCGACCTTGTACTTATAATTAATAATGAGATACTTTAGAGTATAATAATAAATATACATAAATATTATTTATACTTAGTTATAATGATAATTTTAAGAGAAAATTTTTTTGTCTAGAGAAAATAAAGAAAAGAATGAATTTATTACATAGATTTGAGAAGATATTCTAGCCTAGAGACATATGAATATTACGCTATTTTTGAAAAGTTATTAAAAAGTGAAAATATAATTTTTTCGATATTTTTCACTACAAGTTAGTTTTTTTTTAATGTTTTTGGAATGTAGAGAAAAAAAAATAAAATGGTAATAAAGTTTCGAATGCAGAAATGTTCTTAACAAATGGGCACGTGACCATACCCATGATTTCAGCCCTTCAAATAATCTAAAGAAATTCAAATATATATATATATATATATATATATATAGTTTTTTCACAAAGTAGCGAACACATAAAAGAAATTTTGTTCAACAACTTTTTTTGATACTATCATTTTCTTTGAGATAGTTGAAATCGAAATATGAGGATGATTACTAGTTCATACTGAAGACAAGTCTATGAAGTAAACTCTAAAAATTTCATGTAAATCGGTCCAGTAAAAATCGAGAAATCATGGGTACCCATAGAAAATAAATTCGATTTTTTTTTAATTCTAGAGCACAATGCGCCTGAAAATAGTTTATTGTGCTCATCTGAATGATTGAAATTATACAAAATTAATTTCCCAAAACGATATAACGACTAGAATTGTGTTACTATTAAAAAAATATGATCATTTTATTTCTAAACCTTTTTTCTCAAATTATACACAACTTCATATAAACTTCAGTATATTTTATTACAAAGCTGACAATAAATTATCAACGATAAACTTGTAATAATTCCATATGAATGTTAATCTAATTCTAATTGCATTCGATAGTATTAATTACAACTTATAAATAATTGCAATGTATGTATTCACATTTCATTAATAAACGCAAGACAGTCTCTATAATTTTCTCGATGTGCGTAAAAACCAAAATTAAATGTTGTTTATTTATTATATAATGATGCAAAATAAAGTTCTTGCGTCAGTTGAAATTATTAAATTATTAAATTAAAGCAAATACTTGTAATTGCAAATTCTTCAGGTGTTTACGTATATAAAGTCCTTTTCAATCATGTCATCGATATAATTGAACGATTTGAAATTCAATAGACTTATAAAAAAAGAAATTGCAGCAAAAGTGCATATATACGCCTTCAGTAACAGTTAGTACTACCTTAGGTAGTACTCGATTCAGGGAAGAATAGTGTGAGGAATTTCCCATTGCCATCTCACATCGCAGTGCCCAAAATCGTATGTTTTTAAATTGAAGTGAATGTTAAAGCATTTACACGTTGTTTAATCAAATTTCGGATATCACGATCAATTTAAAAATAAAATGACTCAATTTTTAGACCTTTGCTAAAACTTTTACTGTCCGCGAACGTGTTAATATTTGATATAAATTTTTTTTCTCTAAATTTAATATAGAAGATTTCAAAATAAGTAGTTCATCTGATTTTTTGGAAAGTTTTAAATCACGTTTTAAATGCAGCAACTTTACAGGTTTAATTAAAGAAAATTTAACCTATTTATTTATATTTGATTTTAATTTCTGATTAATTATATAAGAAATATCGAACACGCGACAAAACATATAAAATTTAGCATCAACCGTATTTTGAACTGGATGATATCAGTTGAAAGATATTCGAAAATCCCGTATAAATATTTGATTAGGTGTTTTAATTTAATATTCTAACATGAACACGGAAAATCCAAATCGCAGATACCTTAAACTAATTTGCATATATTCATTATATATTTTCTTTTTTTGTATACAGAGATTGAGGATTGAATCGATTATACTCTTTTTAAAAATAGACAACAGAAACAACGCATTTTAAATATTTATTTTTAATTCATTCCTGGCTTTGATCATCTGATATCTCAAATAGTAATATTCTATTAACATTTAAAGCTTTGATAATATTACTAACCTGTTTTCTTATATCGTTTTCTATAAGTTTCTTTTCATTGTTTTGCGGACCGTTTATTTTTTTATAATAACGAGAGAATTCTAATGGCTAGCAAAATATAAACCTGATGGGGGCTCTCAGATAGAATAAAAAAATAAACATATATTTCTAGTGATGGAAATCCTTAACAAATCTTTTTCTTTTTACACTAATCTTTTTAACAAAAAAACTACCTGATATTTGCTCGTTTGGGATTTTGATGATAGGGTAGAGAGATTTATTTATTTAAAGAATTAGTAATAATATTGCTATAAAGGCTTATGTACATAGTTTGACTCAATTACTTTTAATATACTTCCCGTAGGGCAAGTTCTAGTAATCGCAAAAAAATCGAAAATGAAAATTTTTATATA